CCACCGCCCGCCCCTGCCGCTCTTCCCTGCCCTAACCTAACTTCACGGGAAGCGCTGGTGTGTCGTCCTCATCCTCGCTCCACCCCACCCCCACCACCGGCAACCGGCGGCAAGCCATCTCGCCACGCCACCTGCAAGGCCGGCCCTGCCCCTCGACCTAGCCCACCCTAACCACAGCATCCTCGCCCGCCGACCACCGCTACGACGCCCTCTTTCGCCGCCCTTCAACCTGCCACCACCGCCGTGTCGTGGCCGCCTCCCCCCCCAAACCCCGTTCTAGAGCCGTCGGAGATGGAAATTCTAACCTCACCGTCGCCGGAACCCTAGCCACCACCATCTTCTTCCTCTCCAGCATAGACGTGGCTGCGGGGTGGGCATGACCTCCTCCTTCTTCCTCTCCGGCGCGGGCACGACCTCCTTCTTCCTCTTCGTCGGGCACGGTGCATGGGGTCACGTGCTCGTCGTGCGCACGACGGGTCGCGTAATAAACTTTGTGTTTTGATTAGGAACAAAACTTATTCTTATTAGAATTTGGATTACCTGATGCTCCAACTAATTAAACTATAAACTAAAATCTTGAGTAATTTATTGTCTAATCCAGCCTAAGTAAATAACTATTGTTTTAGCTTTGTTCTAAGTCAAACTAATTCAGCTTTAACCTAATCTATATAAAAGAACATCAAAATTTATTGGCACTAAATAAGTACACTATGAAAATATATTTCACGACGAATCTAATAATACTTAGTTAAATTTAAAATATTTTAACTTAGGACAAACACAAACCTAAAACAACAGTTATTTTGGCACGGAGAGCCCGGGGTTATTGTGGGCCGGCAACATAGAGCCCATGCAGTTCTCTTTTCTGCCAGACGAAATGCCCAAATATACGAATTCCTGTGATCCTATCTAGTACGCATAAATAGATCCCGTTAATCATCATCATTAACCTAGTTAGGTAGGGCAGTCGCAAAAAAAAAAACTCGTTAGGTAGGGCTACGGCCTACGGGCTACCAAACCAGGCACGCAGCCGCCATTAGTGACCGCCATCACCCGTACGAAAATGCTGAGGCAGCTTCGTCTCTGCCGCGTCGATGCGCGCGGTTAGCCTCTTCGGATGCGGGCCCTCCGTTATCCAACGACACTTCCTCCGATCCTGCAGCAGCCACCGGACTGTGATTTTGGATTCCCCGGTGGCCGCTGCCAAAGACCCGTAATAATAATTAAACTTGCAACGTAGGGATGACTCAATATTGTTAGTGATGAAAGTAGGCAAGATTTTTCTACATGAAAAAGAAGAGAAAAGGGCAAAGACTGAATTACGTCTTGGTGTCTCAGACAGTCGCCTTTGCTTGTTAGCCATGCACGCGCAGCTAGCAGGCAACAACCGAGCTCCCTAGCTCCAAACTTGTGGTAGATGAATGAATGAGGGCAGATGGTGCGTTGGATCCTAGAAGCCAAGGCGTCACCACGTTAGTTGTCAGGACTTGCCAAGGTGTCACCACGACAGGACCTGGGGTCCTGGATCTCTCATCCGTGTGACTCTAGGCGCATGGCCCTGGACCCTGGAGAAAAGCAGCAAAGCTGCAAAGGCCATCTCGGCAAAGCTGGGCTGCTAGCGTTGCGTTCGTTTTCAGTTCTCCAGCCTACAGGTAAGTGTTTTTTTTTCAAATACAGTATATATACTCCAATACATGCTGGATCTGTAGGATATGCCAGTGCATACATGCCATACCCTGTAGCTCCGCCCCTGGTGAGAGGTGGGATTTTTTTGAGCTTAAGTCCCCCACCTACCGTCCTTTTTTTGCGCTTAAGCCCCCTCACCTCATCCATTGGATCAGCATCCAGTTGTCCTGATTGTTAGTTTCCAAGTTTACACAGGATGGTTGGTTTGCACATGATATGTTCCGTACAGAGCATGCGCTGCGGGGCCGCCTTCTCTGTCTCTGCTCCCCGATCGAGACTTTCTGACGAAGACGTAGAGCGTCTATGCACACCGCCCCAGTTTGTATAGACGGAGCACAGGTCTGCTGCGACGAGGCGAGAACGATGATGATCTCCTCGTGGTCCAGGTCGACCTGTGGTAGGATCACGATGCGCGACGGAAGATGGTCGAGTTCTGTGTGCTCCGCCCGGTACCGGCATGCGCCAGGGGGAGTGGGAGCTCATGGAGCCGGTGCCCATTCTTCAGGGCGATGACAACGAGATGGCGCCTATTGGAGGAATAAACTCAACTCAATTTCCATTAATCTCAAATGGGTTAATATAGAGAGTACATAGTGGGATAGGAAGATAGAAAATAAAGAGACGACTCTTGACATGCTAACACCCCCCGCAGTTGGAACGCCGACATTAGCCTGCAGTGTGGCAAAGCACTAATCTTGCCGTAGAATATGCATCCAATGGTGAGTGGGTGGTTGGATGTGGAGCTAGGGATGTATAGTGGAAAGCTAAGCAATGAGATAATCTCCTCCTTCCTAAATCGCTACTCTACCCAAAATAGGGCATCTAGGTGAACTTCAGGTAAGTTGTAATATTGATATTTCTTCTGTGTATGTTTTTTTCATAGTTTTAAATAGCGGGCTAAGGTGTTTAGCGGTATACATCTAGATCAGCTAATAGCGGAGCTAAATCGGGGTATAGCGGCTAAATTGCGCATAAACACAAATAGTGGCACCCTGCCTTAAAAGGCTATAGCGGCAGCTATAGCGGGAGATTTAAAACATTTTTATGTCCATTGGTCTAAAGCACGATTAGATCATGATTGACAAGTCATCATAGACCTTGCTTTGCATTAGCTACATTTTATGGATCAATGTTTAGTGCGGCAAAGCACTAATTTTGCTGTAGAATATGCATCCAATGGTGACTGGGTGGTTGGATGTGGATATAGGGATGTATTCTGGAAAACTAAGCAACGAGATAATATCCTCCTAGCTCCCTCACTACTCTTACCCAAAATAGGGCATCGAGGTGAACAACCTTGCCCCATTGTCGATAACTACCACCTACGTATTCAAGGTCACGTTGCCCCATGCCTCATCACCTTAGTATCAAGATTAGGATCCGTTTCCGCCATGCCCATCATCATGCCCGGCGACGACATCGTTTAGCTGTCCGTCTATCCCTCACCACGATCACCGAGAAACTAAAGGATTTTACCGCAATACCATCTTAATGACAGCCCTGGTTGCACAAACTGAAAGGCAACACAACCGACATCCGGCGCATGGAGCAGCACGGCCCTCTAGAGCAGCACCATGGACATGCAACCAACCTCCGCGGTTCCACTTCCACACGATGAACTTCCCAACGGCAAGGGGTCATACTGCGCTTCATCAGCTGGTGTGCCTCTACTTCCAACAGTAGAACATCGTTGAGTTAGAGAAGGTTTCGATCGTGTCATTCAACATAGCTCGACGATGGTGCCTAGATGTAGTTTAAGTAATTAGTTGGGCAAAGGTAAGATGACCAAAAGTTTATCAAAGACCGGCCAAATAGTACTATCTCCATTTCAAATTATAAGGCGTACGTTTATTTTGGCTTTTCTATGCTCATAGCTTTTGCTATCCACTTAAATATAATGTATGTCTAAATACATAGCAAAAATAATATATCTAGAAAAGTCAAAACGTCTTAAAATTTGTAATAGAAGGAGTAGTATCTATCTTATCTGTGGAGATGCTGAGCCGGTGACAATATATCCTGACATCGTTTCCCATAGAATAGAAACCATTTGCATTGCATCAAGCTAATCTATATATCTTATAAAGGTAACCCCCACTAGCAATTATATCTGATTCCACAGCGATCCATGTCATCAACTAATCTAAACCACCGATCGTTAGATTGCTACTACCATCCACTGAATGCTACACGCAAACTGTTCGGTCATCTCCGGCCCTGTCTCTTCTCCTCCCCCACAAATCCAATAGCATTAAGGCATAAGAAACTGCCATCACCTGCTCATCTATAAACCTACAATTAGAGAGGATACAGCTGCACGGATGAGCGCACACAACACCAGGTGGTCGGCAGGAGCACAGCGATGGGCTCCGACTTCTCCCCTCCGTCACTAGCCACCATCGAGATCGAAGCGCTCCACGGCAAGACCCAGCACATCCAGAGGAACACTGCGATCTCCTCCCGCGTGAGCTCCCTCGAGACCTTCCCGTCCTCGTCCGACTAGAGCTGGACGCCACAGGGTGCCCCCGCGTCGGCGTACATGCGGACACAGCACGAGCAGGAGGCCGGCACGCCCACACAACTGCTCACTGTCAGTCTTTGGAATAGAGATGGAGAAGACGACGTGTGCAACGGTCATCTCAAGGAAGCCGTTGTTCTCCCTGGGCAGGTCTGCGCCGGCCATGCCAGCGCAAGCCCCTTCCACGTACTGCGTCACCTTCATCAGCTCCTGCGCGCCGCCCTACCGCCCCGCGGCATCGGAGCACCGGTACAAGGTTGTCGTACAGGTCCGGGCACGACCGCAGGCACGCGGTGACGTTGGGCACCCTCACGGCCACAACAACGTACGCTGTTTTCTTCTTCTTTTAGTGAGTAAAAAACAGAGAAACCAAACGGGAAAACGGAAAAGTACGAAACCAAAGCGGAAGAACGGCGTACCAAATAACCATATCGAGAGCATTCTCTTTCCTAATTAGCGGATGCCAGTGAGGGAAGGAAGGAATATGCTTCCTAATTAGCAGCATTGCTGAATGCGGACAAAAAATACTGTGATCTTGTTGATTGATGCGTGCAAGATAACTGAACTAGAGATGGACGAATAAAAGGACCTTACCAAGACTGAAATCTAGAAACTCTTAGTGGTTTAATTATTTAATTAATATTAAAAGTAAAATGAGAATCATAGCTAATTCCTGCAGCAACGCGCTGGAGGAATTCTTCAGTTACTAGTAATAACGCACACTACAGGGGAGAAGGGAAATCGATGGCATTGTTCATCATCACATGGCCTGGCTCATTAAATGCCATGCTGATTGTTACCAACGCAGTTTAGCCGTTATTAAACGAGATGACTCTTCATCCTCGAGTAGATCTCTGGTGCCGCTGGGGACGACAGACAACAGCTTCTTGGTCCTCGTGTTGATCTCTACCGCCATGACTTCCACCTTGAAACAGATCACGTCCGGGTCGTCTTCCACCTTGAAATAGATCACGTCCGGGTCATCAGAGCTCACCATGGGGTACTCCGGGTGCTTATCACGTGGGAGGCACCCGTAGTTCGGGAGCCGCCACTTCCAGATCTCGTCGCAGTAGAGCACAACGTCCTTCACCCACGTCGTCGCCTCCTCCGTGCTCAGGGTCATTGTCCATGTCGTAACATTGAAGGAGGAACTGGAACCCTCGCACGACGTCTTGCCTGGGAAGTCGCCCAAGCAGCAGCGGGGAGGACTCACGCCGACGAACCTCACCGCGTCGGGACCGGCGGCGCCTAGGGTGCAGTAAGCCCGCGTCTCGTCGGGGTAGTGGCCGCAGTAGCCATCGTGCTGCGTTGCCGGCAGCGGCACGTACCGTAGCTTGGGGATCTCCTCCTCCGCCATATCGCACACGATGAAACCGGTGGTGCCGTAGTCGACGCGACCCAGCACAGGAACCGGTTGCCGACGGGCACCGCAGCGTCGGCGACGAGACTTCTTTGCCGATGCCATGGCTGGTGTTCTACGATGGGTACCCGCTTGACGATCCACTCGCGGTCGCGGCCGATGCGGAGCATGCAAAGCTCGGCCGTATCATAGATTGGCGGGTCACACGTCATCTCGTACTGGCACACCACCAGGTCGTCCTCGCCACGGCGCAGTATGCCGGTATTGTTCATGCCCAGGTAGCGAAATTGGGGGAGTAGGATCACGGTGCTTCCTGTAACCTAACTGCACGGGAACGTAGAAGCCAGGGAGCAACGACAGCGACGGCGGCCGGGCGCCGCCCCCTGCCTCATACAGGAAGTGGTCGTCGAACGTAGTAGTTGGAGGCTGACCACGGCGCACTTCTGGACTGGGCACCCTTATCTTGATGAGGAGGGCGTCATCATGGCCGGCGATGATGCGGACATCATCGGGCTCTGACTTGGAGTGCGTGCCGCCGCCTAGCCAGTCACAGTGCAGGCTGCAGCATGCCGGCGGCGCTGCTATGCCGAAGGAGATGCTGATGAAGGGTTTGCTTGAGGAAGTGCAGCAAGCCGCCGTGGTCTTGGCGTCGGCAACGGAGGAGTCGCCGCCCTCGTCGTCGATGCAGCTGTTCAGTATCAGCCAGCGGGGCCCTGCCGCCGCCGCCGGCGAATCAGAGCGATGTCGTCTCTTGTTGCTTAGGGATTGCTTGTGGCCGCCGTGTTGTTCTCTCTTGTTAGTTAGGGTTTCCATGTCGCCCCGTGGCCGCAGCTTGCTAGCTTTGCGCGAGATCAATCGTGATAGACTTGAATCCTTTTAAGTTTTGACATCCATTTATTTATTTATAGAAGCCAATTCGTTATCGTTCTCGAGATGGCAACTGAAGGACCGGAAACGTGGCCTAATTCTTCTCCTCCGAGCGAGCTTATATCCCGAATTTCCGTGAAACGACTTTCATCTACTCCCTCCGTCCTGACGAGGAATCTAAGGTTCAAAATTTGTATTCTGGGTCCTCAACCATCTCTCCCCCCTCTGTATTTTTCTTAAATACTGAGATTCCTATTAAACTTGGTGTCGTCTAAAAAACAACCAGTAACTAAGTTAACTAACAACTTAACTACTCTATCCATCCAAATTAGCAAGGGATAAGGAGGTCTTTTGCCAAGCTCAATATTTTGTCTAAAAATCTCTTAGAAAACAGCCTCAAAAACAATTGACAAAAATTTATAACTCGATCAAACGAACTCCAAAGAATTTGAAACTTTGCACACACCTTCTCATGCCTGTTTAGAAACGATCCCCAAGAGATCAAGTCACAAAGATCTCCCTCTCAACTTGGGGTTTTCACAATTTTCTTGAAAGAACCTATTTGAGGGTGCTCGTGAGAATTCTGTTGGAGGTAAAGTCTAAGCATGTTACCAAGACACGCATCTCCAACAGTATCTAAAAAAATACTCTCCAAAAACAGGTTTTCCAACCTTTGCAAAATATATTGGGAGACATAAAAAAAGCTACAACTCCAACAGTTTCCAAATCTCGCGCCTAAAAGATATAAGGTAATTTTACATCAGGATTCATAAACTATTTCTAAATTACACTAACTACTTTTATACTTTATTTCTCTCTTATACATCTGCATCATAAACCCTGTCCTACTTTTTTTCTTCCCCACGTCCTTCCACCTCTAGATTGGGGCGATGACACGCACGCGTAACTTTATGTGCGTGGGGGCAGTTTTTCCAAGTGCCAAAAGATTGGGAGGTGGGTTTGGGAGTTGTTGGAGATGAGGTTTTTTTTCAATCTTGCCAAAATTCCTGAATTGGGAGACTCTTTTGGATACACTTGGAGATGCTCTAAGAACAACCAAAGAACACCTCAAAAATGTCAGTTCAAGGATTTGTAAAAAAGCATGAAAAGAGGTAGAAAATGTGGGGTTTGGGGTCAGGAACTTGTAGATAGATAGCTGGTCATCAAACCAATGTATGGACAAGTTCCAAGACCTTAGTTCAATGTATGGACAATGTATGCACAATAAGAGCACCCCTCTTGATTTGAACTGCCCTCAAATCCTTGACAAGCCTCTCTGTGTGTGTCGAACTGCCTAGGGTCAGAGAGAGGGGGTAGAGAGAGATATCAAAGTGAGCTGCTAAAGACACATATAGCCAAAGGGTGAGGTCCTACCTCGCAAACACGATGCTGAGAAACACAACACCGAGCCATCTGCCATGCCTCACTAAGGGGCACTAGATAATATGTTGTGACCACTAAGTGGCCGCTTGGTACAGCTCTGCGTCACTTGTAGTTTTTTTGGCTTTAGCTCCAGGAGTAAATTTAGGAAGCCTAAGTGTCTCCATGAATGGTATGTTAGCCTCTAAATATCACTCGATATGTTAGCCTCTAAAAGAGCGTGCCGGAGTTCTAGCGAAACATAGTGGCTGCAGTGGGGCAGTGGTCGGCTGAGGCCATAGCGCGCCAGAGCTCTAGCGAACCCTAGCGCCCACGGCGGCCGCCTTCTTCCCCTCTGTAACACCTTCGGTGTTACACTGTACAGTCTTTTGCTAAAACACTGCATGTGCATCATGTTTATGTGATAGTGTATGTAATATAGTGCGTAACACTACTACAGAATGCTTAATTGCAGTGGGCAATTTTGGTTTCCCGCAGCGGGCAAATGCGTCTGCCGCTGTGAGAAGGTCACGGTAAATCGTGAATCCACCGCGGCGGGCGCCAGTGCCCGCGGCTGTAAACCTATTAGCAGCGGCGGACACTTTAGAACGTCCGCCACGGTAAAGCTGAGGAAAAAAACAAAAAAAACACAAAGCCCACTGGCGAGCCCATATCCCGAGCCCGCCAGCGAGTCCAATCCCAGCCCACAACCCTAGTGCCACCGGGATCTTCGCATCATCACCGTCGTCGTCCCTGGATCCGATTGCCTCCACCTCTTCACGCCAGATCCAGTCGGCCCCGCATCGGAGAGCCACGGCCCCGCTGTCGCCGGAGATGGGCAAGATCGGCCTCTACCTCCCAGATCCACCTCCCTGTATGGAAAGAGAGAGGAAGGAAAGAGGGAGTGAGGGAGAGGAGCTAGGAGAGATGGAGAAAGAGAGTGAGGTAGAGGATACGGCGGTGCCATTACCTCGATCTTGCCTGCGCCGCCAGATCCGCCGTCGCCGGAGGTGGAGGCGGCCCGCTGTCGCCGGATCTGGGCCGTGAATCCGCTTCGACACCGGAGAAGAAGGGGAAGGAGGCAGCCAGCCCACGCGCACCGCGCCGCCTCCGCCCGCTCGCCACCGTGGCTCCACGCGACCTGCGCCGCCGCCCCGCGCGCCACCGTCGCCCACGCGACCCGCGCCGCCGTCCCGCGCGCCGCTGTGGCCCCGCACGACGCCGTGGCCCTGCGCGACCCGCCGTGGCCCCGCGAACCACCGTGGGCGCCTCCGTACACGCCACCGGAGTCGGGCGCCACCGCGCCCTGTCGATGGAAGGACAGCAAGGACGACAGGGTGGGAGGGGGTGCGACGGAAGGAGAGGGAGGGAGGTGCGCGCGAGGACGATGGAGAGGGTGCGACGGAAGGAGAGGGAAGGAGGTGCGGACTTGTTCGGTCTTCGGTGGGAGGGAGTGGCTGAGGCAGAAAGGGAGACTGGGAGTGAAACCCTAAAGACTATGTATTTATATGTGAAGACGGCTATCGGGCTTCGTCGGCCTTAACCGAGGCGGGTCTCATAGGACGCCCGCCACGGTAAATCGATTTACCGCGGCGGGCAAAAATGCTCGCCACGGTAAATAAAAAATGCCCGCCGCGGTAAATCGTGGGATTTACCGCAGCGGGCAAAGATAGGAGCCCGCCACGGAGTGCAAAAGTGGAACGCTGCGCAAAATCATTTTTGTAGTAGTGTAAATCAATTTCTGTGACTCGAAACGTTCATCGGAAACGCGAAACGAATGTTATATTTCATGTCGCGTTATGTCGTTTAGGGTTTTAAATGAATTTTTATTGAATGAAAATGCTATAGAACGCATATACGAAACTTTAATAAAGTTTGTAGTTTAAGCATCGTAGGCGACGATGAAATACTTGCGGTCGAGAACGGAATTCACTTGCTAGCGTATCGAATAGCTTGGAAATCGAATTCGACACGAAACCGTTTGAGACTTAGTCGAATTTTCTAAGTCGGACAACGCTTTGATGAAGCTAAGTTCGGCAATTTTTGTAGAAGAATCGGGCTAAGTAGTGGTATGGTCTTAGGGTTTATTTTAGTAGCTTGGCATGCCATCTCGAGTGTAAAATAGGTGGTTTAGCAACTGGATCACTGAGATGGATTTTTGGGATGCTTTAAAAAACGTGCAAGACACGTTCCCGTCGGCTTCAGCATCTGGACGCGGTCACCAGGCTTTGGGTCGGCTTGGCACCGCGGCACTGGCCTGCCCTAGGCGCGCACACGTGCACCGCCACGTGGGTCCGCACCGCCGTTGCCACGCACTGGCACGCGACGCACGCATGCACACGCACGCACCCGGCGGCCTAGCCGCTCGGCCACCACCGCCGTCGTCGTGGGCCCGCTGTCCTGGCCAGCCCGTTGTCATCGCTTCGCCGTGTCGCGGCCTCCGTTGCGTCACGTCACCGAACTGCTGCTAGCCACGGCCGTGGGTGCGGAGTCTCCTGGCCACTCTGCCACTGCCGTCGCGTCCACCTGGACGTTGATGCTCATCGTCGCGTCATGCTGCATCCCCGGTCACGCTGCACTCCGACCGCCGCTGCCGCGCGGCCACTGCTGCCGCTGACCCTTCATGGCTGCATGCGCGTGGGCTTGCCCCGCCTGGCCATTGCCATCACATCCGCGCTCAATGAGACGCTGCGCTGCTGCCTCCCCCAGATCGACGCCAGCCACTGCGGCACACAGGGCCGAGCCACCATCATCGGCTTGCGATTTATGGCCATGCAGCCAACCGTCTGGAGCATGTTTCGTTGTCCCCCATCGCCCTGTAGCACGTGCGCGATTGTGCACCGAGTGGACAACCACGACTCTCCACGGCAGCGACAAGCCAAGCCACGCCTGTCTTCCCCTGTTCCTCTGTCGTCGTGGTCGCCGGACCCACGCCTTTCAATTCGCACTGGTGAAGCCACCTCGATCCAATTAGTTTGGTCCACGGCTTCGCGGTGTAGTCAGCCAGCCACCCGACCCCATCGTGCGGTGTTACTCGCTGAGCCATGCTCCAATTTGGAGCTTTCCTCTCGCCGGGTCATTAAGACCGTCGTGGCACATGTCGACGGCAAGGTCCCCACTCCAGTGCTGCTCGCGTTCATTTCGTTGCACCGCCAGCTTCGCCTTCACCTACTCATCACCCTACGCAACCTTGCCAAGTCGCTACCACCCTCTAGCCACACCTGACGTAGCCTTGCCACCGTGGCGCACCACCGCACCATCCATGCGCACGCGGCCAGCTTGGCTTGGGCCGCCTCCAGTCGAACCGCCACCTCGTCTGGGTCCATGGTGAGTGCCTGGAGCTCACTCGCTGCTCTATTTACCCCAGCTTTGTTGTAACTCACCGGAACACCACCGCCGTGTTGCAGGAGCTCCGCCGCCGTGGACTAGCCTTGCTACGGCGTCTCGGCTCGCGCTTTCTTCGCCCAGTGCTTCGCGTTCACTCCTAGGCAGGTATCGGCTCCATAGATAGGGCGGGGAAGGGCTGGTTTGGCCGACGTAACCACCCGGTGCCAGCGCCGCCGCGCCGGTGCGCGCGTCCGGGGCCC